GAGAAGAAACTCAGATGAGGGCGGAACTGTGTAGCCTCCCTAGCCTGTTGGTCTGCAGTCTACAAAAGTCTGTTTTTCAATTTGCAAAAAACAATCAAATAGCACTCACCAGTGTTTATGGTGACCACAAATGCAAGCAAAGGTTGACTGTGTGAAATGCAGGGAAGCCATCTTTAGAAAATGTCACTAAGTACCTGACAAGAGAGAACAAGAGAGAGGAAGGTTTCTTTGTGTCACCAATCAAGGGACTACATACAGTCTATCATGGTGATGGTAACATGAGGCAGCCAGTCTCATTCCATCGCAAGATGGGGAACAGAGAGAGAGAGAGAGAGAGAGAGAGAGGAGAGAGGAGAGAGAGAGAGAGAGGTTGATGCATAGCTCTCTTTTATTCATTTTAAGTCTCTACCCCATTAATAATGCTTCCCTTGTCCTGAGTTAGTCTTCCCTGCTTAGTCAACTCACTGCTTAGTTAAATGTTCACAGACACATCCAGTGGTGTGTTTCTATGGTAATTCTAAATCCTCTCAAATTGACAATGAAGATGAACCAGGGCAGTGTCCTTCCAAAGTTAGCACAGGAATCGAAATAGAGAGTTTTCTAGGTATCATGTGACAAAATCACAAAGGCTGTGTGTGTCCTTTACCACTTTGTCTATATTTAGATAGATCAATGGAAAGATGTTAAGTAGATAGATGATATAAGGTAAATGATTGATAGTTGATAGATGATAGGAGATAGTTAAATAGATAAGTGACACATATTTATGGAGAGAGAGACTGAGAGAACCTCTCTGAATGGCCATGGTAGACCTAAACTCATTATGTAGACAGGAATGCCCTTTTAAATCATACAAATCTAGCCACCTCTGCTCCTAAAATGTATAAATTAAAGGCATTTACCACCATGCCTGGGCCATTTATTATTTTTTTTTACAGTGATTGATTGTTTAGCATCATTTGTCTACATGATGACCTTCCTGGGACAATGTAGTAGGTCAGGGCTTTCCACCCAGGAATCCATTGTTAATGGGAGTTTGTGGGTGTCTTCAGGAGTGGACTGATAGCTGAAATAATAACAATTGGAAATCCACTCTCTGAGGTGGTGGGGAAATGGGCTGTGTGTTTCCAGAGGCGTGTGTATATGCACTTAAGGATTGTGTTCAGGAGAGTATCTTAAATGGTCTCCCCAGGATCTGTAAACGAAAAGTAAGTAAGCAAAGTAGAACAAGCACTGAAAATTCAACCAAGAAAGTGTCATAAAGATTTAAAGGAAGGTCTACACAGCGATCATTGCTGCACCTGACAAGATCAGTTTGATAGGGTAGAAGATAAAGTGGGACAATCTATTGGAAGCTAATGGGGGGGGTGATGGGAGTGACTTCCTTCTTTTAAACAGCATTTAAGGGGTGAACACACACAGTAGGCGTTAAGATAGTTTTCCAAGTTTTGTTTCTGTATTAGTTGGTGAGCTTTATGGCAAAGCCCATTGCCAGCTCTACCCTGTAAGGAGAGCATCTCTTCTGTGCACCTCCCTGTCATAACTCCCTGCTGCTGCTTCTGTCCACAGTTAAGAGACTGCTCTTGGTGAGACTCTCATCCATCATCGTTCAGGTCTTCCCTATTGCTTTTTCTATCTTTGAAGTTTCAGTTTGCTGAAAACGAGGACCAGGTATTGTTTGTTGACAGCTTAACCACCACAAACTATACATTAATGTCTACTCTGAACAGCTAGTTATGTTATTGTTTGAATGCTAAAGGTCATTATTCATTTTATTGGGTAGAAGGATAAACAGGATTTACAAATTGGGACTTTAAGTTGAAAGCTTTTTTCTCTTACTTACAGAAGGTGAATATATTAGGAGAATTTCATTTTCACAATGATTGGGAAGGAGACAGTCTTTTCTGCTCACATATAATGGATATAAACAGTTATTTTTTTAAGGAAAAAATAATTCTTGCTCATTATCCAAATTAACATTTAAATATTAAGAACTAGTATTTTCTTCCAAGCATTTAGAGTGAAATGCTGTGTTTAGAAAGAATGAAACAGAAGCTATAGTCACAAGGGTATTTCAGTGGGAGGGAGCTATGTCAAACACACCATGTCTTATTCTCTTGCTTGTGGAGGTGACAAATGGAAAAGGTCCAGAGAATTATGCTTGAGGACAGCAAAGGGAGAGACCTCCTAATGTATTGAGAGAGCCGGTCACTCTGATGTTACCCGCATCTTACAGTTGTGCACATTTGCCTGTGCAAGCTTGAAGCCTGCCCACAGATTTTAGGAGTGCACTAGATGCATATGCCTTTCTGGCCCTTTTGTGCTTCTGAAAAGTTGAGTATCTGGGTTTCGTCTGACACCAAAGTGAAGAGAAATGTAACCGTGTTTCAGGTATGGAAAAAACAATCTCAGGAAGAAATTGGAAACACTAAGACTCCCTTGACTGGAGTCTGAGCCAGCTCTCCCCAACAAGATATTCACCATGCAAATGAACAATGGAGTCCCAGTCTGCAACAGCTGTTAGCCACCCTTTAAAGGGATTAATGTCACCAGGGGCTAAAATGTCACCTGTCAGGTGAAGTAGCAGTAAGATCCAGTCCTATGTAAAGTAGCAATAATGCTTAATGAATTTCCTTTAAGTTTGTTCTGCCATGGCAACTGAATTTAGAATCCCTAAGATAGAAATTAAGCCTTTAAAAAATATCTCCTTCTGGAGTATAAGGTGTCTGAATAGGAGGTGGGTAAAGTGGGGTCCTTTGGGAGTAACTTCTCATCTTCTGTACCTGATTGCATGTAGATGTGTGAGCCATCCTCTCTCGGGATGAGCTGCCATAAAAAGGTGTGTGGTCTTCAGTCAGCTGCCTGTTCTTGCTTCTAGAGCACTCCATGTTAAACAGGGTACAGACACAGGTACCCAGTATGGAGCCTCGGTTGAGAGGTGTTTCCTTTCACCCAGGAAGGAACATGAGATGAAAAGTCTTTGGTGTGCAGTGAATACAGATACTTCTTGCTACATTCTGTGTTGTAGATGATGTGTTCTGTGGGCCGTTCATGAGAAACACTCTAAGGAGTTTATGGAATGAAGTTTTTAGTCCTCTGACCAAAAGGGGCCAGTATGTTCTATTCCTCTGTGTGCTTATGTTTATATGTTTAGTTTTAAATAAATAACATCGAAAGTGGGCACATGATTTCTCTCTAAGGGCATGTAATTGCTGCAGAGCACAGGCTGTATCTAAAATCCAGTAACATTAGAAACTAAGTTGTATGCGTACTCAGCTGACATATTGGAGGCATATTCCATAGTGATAGCAAGAGAGGTAAGTTATTTGGGATTAAACTATTTGGGATGTAGAAGTTGTAATTTTGTAAGTTTTGTAGAACACTTCTCCTCCTCTCTATTTCCTCTTCCTCCTCCTCCTCCCCCTTTTCCTCCTTTCCCTCCTCTTCCTCTCCTTCCTCTTCCCTCTTCCCTTCCTCCTCTTCCTCCTTTTTCTCTTCTTCTTCCTTCTCCTCCTCTTCTTCCTCCTTCTCTTCTTCTTCTTCCTTCTCCTTCTCCTCTTCTACCTTCCTCTTCATTTTCTTCTCTTGTTTTCTCCTCCTGCTTCAGCCCAAACAACACACTGATATATCTCCTCCAGTTACTCTCCCCGTAAACACTGAACATCTGTTAACTCAAAATCATATCAAGATACAGTGATTATGTTGATAACAACTTTCAAGGATTGAGATGACGAGATTTTAAGTCAAGGAATTTTGTATGTTTAACCTAGCCAACATTGGCCTTAATTTTTAAAAGTTATCAATGTCATTTGTCATGTTTCTGGGGCCTAATATCATTTCTTACACAGATGATGGAGGCATCAGCAAGCATGGTGTGCAATCTTACATGCTCCATTTGCTCACACTTGACTGTGTTTTAACGAGGGTCTTCTGTGCCATACAAATAAAAAGCATGACAAGAGGGAGAGAGAGAGAGAGAGAGAGAGAGAGAGGGGGGGGGCAGGGTGTGGTGGTGGTGGGAGAGACTCCCAAAGCTCCAGTGATAAAGTTTTGCTCTTAACAGTGCTCTGCTTTGTGGAACTTATAGGACTATGGATATAAGTGATGACCTCCAGACAGACCTTTAAGTAAGAAACATGATAAACATGCCGGATTCATGTTTCTTTAAAATTCCTGAAATATCTTTGACACCAAATAGACCCTGCATGTTATAAATGTCACAAGTTCGTGGTTGAAATCTGGGAGAGAAAAGATAAGAGAATACAAAATTACAAAGTTATAGAATGAAGAATAGAGTCACTCAGGAGGAGAGAGTTACAAAGAAACAAGATTCAGGGGACTGGTTCAGAGAGCATGTGATACTACAGTGAACCTCAGGGCAAGGCCAGAAACCAGGCCTCAAGTTGTAACTCAGTCAGGAAAGCTTTCACAGAAGCAGAGGCAGTCTCACAACCTTCCTGCCCAGTGTCTAGGTCTCCTGTGGAGTGTGGTTTTTCTAAAGCTTGAGAGTGAGTGGGGCACCAAGAGAGTCATAGTTTGAATCAGGAGGGCCATGGAGACTCTAAAGCCACTGAAGATAAAGACAAGGTACATGTATGTATGATTTCTTTAAACAACCCAATGTCACGAGGCAGCTGAACACAGTTGACAGCTCCACCTTACAGTCATACAAATATGAAAGATCTTTAGGCAACAGCCAGGACAGCAGGACCACACTATGGGGCTGCCTTTTAAATGCTATGTTTAAAAACTTGCTGCCTCACGTGATGGCAAGGGGCCTCGTATTTTGTTTTTGCCTGTAGAGCAATCAGTGACTCATTCTTGAGCTGACTTGCAAAGTGAAGCCAAGTTTTTTTTTTTAAGATTTCTTTGCTCGTTGCTCTTACAGAGTGACATGTCACAATCTTGTATGTCTACAGCATAAGCTACAGAGTTCCTTCTCCCCAAAGAAGTCATACTGAATTTTAAACCACCCACACTGTCTTTGCTTTCTCCTCCAGGAAGTCGATGGCAATAAAGTTATGTCTTCGTTAGCTCCGTACAACTCATCTACCTCACCCCAGAAGGCGGAAGAAGGTGGGCGACAGAGTGGTGAGTCCATGTCGAGCGCAGCCCTGGGAACCCCAGAAAGGCGCAAGGGCAGCTTAGCAGATGTGGTGGACACCTTGAAGCAGAGGAAGATGGAAGAGCTGATCAAGAATGAGCCGGAAGGTAAAGACTGGGAAAGGAAGATGGGCCATGTCCTTCCTGGGTTAAGTAGTTTGATTTGGCTTCTGCTTCTGATGTTTGGTGTACATTCTTAAATGGAACAAACTAGAAACCTCATGTCTATAAAGATTCCTTTCCTTTTTTGTGTGCTTTCTGTCTGTCTGTCTGTCTGTCTGTCTGTCTGTCTGTCTGTCTCTTTTTTGTCTGTCTTGCTCTCTCTCGCTCTGTTTTCTCTTTTTCCTTTCTCTATCTCTTTTTTCTCTACCTCTCCCTCTTTCTTTTCATTCATTCATTCATTCTTCATTTTATTCCTTTCTTCATCTCTATCTCACAGGTCCTAAGATCCTTTTAAAATCATAGATTCACATTGCAATGTGAACCTTATTTTCGTACATGAGTGACAATTGAGTGAAGCTTACAGACTCAAGAACAGAATGTGGCAGCATTTCCCAGAAGACCCACCTACTTGTCACAGATCTGCAGCCTGTAGTGTACATCATAGGGAACTGTGTTACATTTTCTAACCTTTGTACATCAATATATTCATATCCTATCCTTGATCTTATGTCCATGCCTTGCACAATCCATAAAAATATTATTGTAGTAACTTAGCTGTGACCCCATGTAGCCTCCATTTACTCTTAGAATCCTTTCATTTGGGGTTCTAACTTTAAAACTCTTTTTCTAGTTATTGGTAGCAGCCTGAACTTAATAGACATATATATGTGTAAGAGGGCATCCTAAAAATAATACAAACTAAGAAGAAAACCTCATGAACCTGTCCCAGGTTAGATCCAGATGTTAACGATTCCAATTTAACCCTGGCTGAGTCTGGGACGCTGAAGCCACACAGCAAGCAAGAGCAAGCTTCCCTCTTCTTCAGCTGTGAGTTCCAAGTGAGCAAACCAAGAAAATGAGAGGAGATGTACTTTGGTTACAAGATGTGTCTGACTTACAATGTATGATAGCCAATATGTGTCCAAGTCCCTCAGAGCACTATGGCTGAGGGTTTGGGAAGACATTGCATTACTTTATAAAGAACTGCCAAACTGTCTGAAAAGTGTTCATAAAATTTTCCTTCCTGCCATCACTGAAGGGAGGTTCCTGCTGTTCCACACTCCTCTCAGCCTTTGGCTCTTTTGTATTTGGTGATTGTGTGCATTCAAATGGCTATGCATTACGATCTCGTTATTGGTTTACCTTACAGTTTCCTGATGGTTCTCCATGTCCAGATCTCCTCATGCATTTATTTTACATCTCTGTGTCTTTGGGGAAGTATCTGTTTAGTGCTTTTGTACGTTTATTGAGTCATTCTGATACAGATGAATTTTGAGAGATCTTTATATATTTTGGATACTAATTCTGAATCAGAAATGTATTTGACAAACGTTCTTCCCGTCTGTGGTTGGTATTTTCATCCTCAGTGTTTTCTTTTGCAGAAAAAAAAACAACTAACTTTAATGGCTTTCCAGTTGTCACTATGTTCGTGTGTTTTACTTCTGATCTGTTTGAGTAGTCTTGGAGAGTCTGAGATATTTTTCTTGCATTATCTCCTACACTTTTTAAATTTGCATTGTATACTTTAGATCTGGTTTAACCGTTTTGAGTTATTCTTTTAATGGTTCTGCGTCTGGATCCTTTAATTTCTCCATCACCATAGCATGTCTAGGGTATTGTCTGAAAGATGACTCTTGTCTGCTGAATTCTTTTGCTCCTTTGAGAAGGTGGCTGACTTAATTAGTGTTCATTTTTTCTGTGCCCTCTGAGCTACGTTCCATCCAATCATTATACTTCCCTTGGCCTGATATCATTGCTGTCTTCATGAGTATAGCTTTGCTTGACAGGAAATCTTGTTTTGGGTTGTACTGTTTTTCCAGCTTTCTTTCTTTTCTTTAGGATTTGATGGGTCAGTTTGAGTCTATTGCCTTTCTCCACAAACTCTCTAAAGTCAGTTTGTATCTATTCAAATAATATTGTTGATTTGACTGCAAATGTGTTGTACTTGTAGATCATATTATAAAGAAACCATGACTGTTCTCATCCATAAAGGAATAAATAAAATCTTTCTTAGCTATTAAAATCTTGGCTCTTAGAATTTCAACATACATAACTTAGATGTATTTCAGTACATCTATGCTTGTTTATTACCTTTTTATGTAAAATGAAAAAATAAACAGGAATCATACTATTGTTAATTAATCATTAATTTCAAATTTTACCAGTTGGCTAGTAATATGTAGTAATTCCATGTACTGACCTAGGAACTCCTGGCATTGGATTCAGTTGTAGCCGTTTCTGTTAACTTTATGAGATTATCTACATGGACAAAGATTTCATTCACAAACTGACAGTTTCATTTATTTCATCCCTCAATACAGGTTTTATTACTTTTCTTTTTTCTTACATGTCAAGACTTCTAGTAGGATATTCATATTGATCTAGTAGGAAGAGAGGGTATGATACCATTGCTGTGTTCTTGATTGTGAGAGCCAGGCTTCTTGACCCACCATGACTAGGATGTTTGCTGTAGGCTTTCCTGGGTGATACCATCAGGACCTATTTTCTTCTTTGCTGTGGTTTCTATGAAGTTATAATTTTATCTATTAATATAATATATACAATCACTGTTCTTTATTAACACACACACACACACACACACACACACACACACACACACACACACACACACAATCGCTAGTCTTTAAATTCCCAAGGAGATTTTCAGACGTTGACCCACCTAGCAAACATGTGATAAATCCCACTGGGCCACACTTTAAAGGTCTTTTGATCTATTTTGGGATTTGACTTGCTCAGACTTTGTTGAGGATGTTTACATAGAGGACCACGAGGTCAACTGCTTCGTTTCTTTCTTTTGAATAATGTACATCTCTGATTTTGATGCTGACTTCATAGAAGGAGTTGTAAAGTGTTTTTCATCACATGTTAATTTAAAATCACAGTGTTGGATATATTGTGAGTTCGAGGATAAGGAATAAGGGGTCTAAATTTGCTTCGTATATTCTATTATGAAGAGATTTGGGGGTTCTCTTAGATGGTACTATTAAAGGAAATTTTGTGTGTGATGTCATTGCTCTGCTGTGTTGGGTTGACTAAGAGGAGATGTATAAACTCTTAACTTGGAAGTAGATGACAGTCCTAATCTAAACCCAGTGAATACATCTCAGTGGGAAAGATGGCAGCAGGTGGCACCCACAAGTACTTGATGAAAGACCCACTAGAGAATTGGGAATTATAAGAGAAACAGTTCCCAGGAGCTGCTACTGTTGTAGAATAGCAAAGATGACGGCCATAGCAGGAAGGGTTGTCACGAGGAAAAGTCATTATTTATTGCATGTGATGGTCAGAGGGCCTCTCTTAGTATATCTCCATCAGTAATGGACTTCAAAGTACTTCTTCCTCTTAAAACACATAAGTGCTCAGATAATAAGGAACATGTTCTTGAATAGAACAAGATTGGAGAGAATGTATACCGAACAAGGCAAGGATTGAAAAGTCTGAGTTTGGGTGAGAGAGGCGGTTCAGCTGGGAAGAGCACTTGCTCTTGTGCACAGATGATAGCTTACCACCTGGAAGTCAGGAATGACCACAGCTCCATGACACAATGGCTGTAATCCCACGTGTGTGCTGTAGGAGAGAGGGAAAAGAGGATTCCAGGGGCTTGGTGGCACCAGCCTAGCTTGTGTCTCAAAGGAATTGGGACACGGTATTATAGTCTGATAGTGTCTTCTTTTGGCCTCTCTGTGTGCATACACACACAAACCTATTTATGTCACACTCACACGTGTGCCATACTCATACATACACACATATGCATATGGACACATACAGGCATACATGTAAATGGACTCCCTCACCCCCATCTTGAGTTTCAGAAACAATCTCTGAATGACAGAGCATGAACAACCTTTACACTCACATATGCAAGTTATGCAGGGTCTCCTCTGAATATCTAAAATCATAGACCTACTCCTACTAATACTTTGCCCTGGAAACAATATATATGCATTTTAAAATATTTTATGTGTTGTTCTGTGACGTGGTCTCATACTGTAGTTTATGTTTGTCTAGGATTTATTATGCAGCCTAGGCTGACCTCAAATTCTTGATGATTCTCCTGCCTCTGTCTCTTGAGTGCTGGTATTACAGGCATGAGCCTTCACACCTCTTTCAAGAATGAATATCTAGTGACCAAAACAATTTATGGACTTATAAAGAAGTAATTTATATCTAAGTAAAGTCATGTTCTTATCCAGAAAGAAAAAAAATAAATGTCAAAGAGAAAAGCATACAGAATTGTATCTTAGGAGACTATATGTTTCAAAGCAACCACAAGTTCTGTTGGTCCTCAAGACAGTACTGATCAAAGGGTATGAGACATGCCTAAGACTGCCCACTCGAACCTGCCTTCCCGCCCATGTTCAAGGGACCGTGGTGGTGGGTAGAGCACACACACTTGAGCTGAGGCTTTCTCATTACCTGGGATCAAAAGATAAAAATTTTCAGCAATGAGTCTGAAGGGGAAAATGTCAAATGTGTTGGTGGGAAAGCTATAGATAACCCCTTTTTGCAGCTTTATGGAAAGAGAAGCCATGGAAAGGCATGGGGCAGAGAGGGAACAGAGCTAAATGCTAAATGCACAGACAGATAACAGAACGGATCTTTTTCTCTCCTCCGGATCTTTGTCCATTGTTTTTCCAAGGGCATTAAAATGAGCAGCAGGTTGTGATGAAAATTTCATTAAGCCCAGTGAAATCATTATGAGTGGCCGTGTTCACATCTTGGCTTCCTCTTGTGTGGTGGGGGTGGGGGAACAGATCTCACTAGAAAGATCACATTATTTCCAGCCTCACCCTGCCAACAGCAAGCCAACAGGGACAGGGAAACCAGGAGAGGAGGCTAGGCCATTGAAAGGGAGGCCAAGAAGGTGAGAGTGTCTGTTAGGGATCAGAGGTTCATACATGTGGAAGAAACAACACCTCTTC